CTGTGATACAAAATGTTAACAAATATAATTTTTTATTATAAAATTCATAAAGATTAGTAATATGTGAAAGGATCAAATATTTGTTTAGTCCCAACATTTTTTTTTACAAATTGATTTCAGTCTTTATATTTCAAAAATATTAATTCCTCTTCAAACTTAAAAAAAAATATAAATTTAGTATTTTTTTATTAAGTTTATAAAAAATAAAAAATATTATTAAATATCAAATTTAATTTTAAAGAAAAATTAAAATAATATTTAAAATTTTATAATTCTGTTAAACTAAAATTTGTATCACTAAATATTAAATTCAAGTATAGAAAATAATTAAAATAACAATTTTATTTATTAATAAACGTCTATTAGTAATGCACGTCTACAAACTGGCTTCAGAATTAACAGTCTCTTTGGGGTGAGAAAAATCGTACATAAAGAGAAAAGAAAAAGGAAATAAATTAATATAATTTTTTATATTTGATAAAAAAGAATTTATTTTTCTAAGAAAAAAAATTCTTTTAAAAAAAATTCTTTTAAATTTTTATTAACAAAATATATTACAACCCTTTAAAAATTTATTTATTTAAATTGGTTGCTTAAAATTAATTTTCTACGCCGATAAAATTCATTGTTATATCATTATAAACATATTCATTTGTATAAATTATAATTATCTCTTACATATTAATAAAATATTATATACTTTTTTTATGATCACTATTATAATTACATATTATTATTTCTTTTGTCTTATAAATTTTTTCATTGATTTTTTTAAAATTGTCTTATGGGATAACACCTTTAGTGTTGGACAAATATTCACTCCTGTTCCCCCGATGATCAACTTGTTGTTCCTGCTACTCCAATTGTCACGCCTTCAACGGAAAAAACGAAAAAAGATGATAAGGAATCAAAGGCAAAATACGTGAAGGATAATAAAGCTGTCAGAGGTCATCTTCTCAATCACATGACAAATGCTCTCTTTGATATTTTTGTTGAACAGAAATATGCAAAGGAAATATGGGATAACTTGGAATCAAGGTACGGTGCTGATGATGCTGGCAGGAAAAAATACGTGGTGGGAAAATGGATGGAGTTCCAGATGGTAGATGACAAGCCTATCATGGAGCAGATTCACGAGTATGAGAACTTGGTTGCAGATGTGCTGAGAGAACGCATGAAAATGTGTGATGTTCTGCAGGCTAATGTTGTGCTGGAAAAATTTCCACCTTCATGGAGTGATTACAGGAACCATCTGAAACACAAAAAGAAGGACTTACCTTTACAGGAGTTGATAAGTCACATGAAAACTGAGGAGGCTAATCGTCTGAAAGATAAGGAAAACTCTTTTTCTTTTATTTCTGTTAAAGCTAACTTGGTTGAATCTTCTGTTGCCTATAAAGACATGTACAAATCCAAAGGAAAGAAATTCAAAAATAGCGGATACCAAAAAATATCCCAAAGGTGATAACGGAAAGAATCACAAAGGCAAAATGATAACCTGTTTTGAATGTGGAAAACCAGACCACAAGGCATACCAGTGCTGGAATAGGAAGGATAAGAAACTTACCAGTAAGCCCAATAACTATGCTCCACAAGTCAATGTTGCTGAAAAGGAAGATATAATTGTTGCTGTGGTGGTAGAAGCAAACCTGTTGGAAAACAAGGTCGACTGGCTGTTAGACACTGGTGCCACCACACATTTTTGCTCCAACAAAGCTCTTTTCTAGGAATTTTGTGATGTAGTAGATGGTGAACATGTCTTCATGGGGAATTCATCCACTGCTATGGTGCTTGCTTTTCTTAATGGAGACCTGGAGGAAGAAATTTACATGGAGCAACCAGAGGGATTTGTAGTTGCTGGACAAGAGGACAAGGTATGCAAGCTTAAAAATCTCTCTATGGCCTCAAACAGGCACCCAAACAATGGTACGAAAAATTTGATCGTACTTTAGTAACCAATGGGTATGTTGTGAATGTCTCTAATTCATGTGTTTACTCTAAATTGTTTGGTTCTAATTGTGTGATTATATGTTTATATGTTGATAACATGCTCATTTTCGGCTCTAACTTGGAAGTAATAAATGAAACCAAGATGTTTTTGACTGCTCACTTTGAGATGACAGATTTAGGTGAGACAGATGTTATTCTTGGTGTCAAAATAAGGAAAACTGAATTTGGCTTTTCATTATGTCAATCACACTACATTGAAAAGATACTTAAGAAGTTTGATTGCTTTGATACAATGTCGGTAAGAACTCCTTATGACCCTAGCATGAGTCTTAAAAAGAACAATGGTGATAGTGTTTCACAAGCTGAATATGCTAAAGTTATAGGAAGTGTTATGTATCTCATGAACTATACAAGGCCTGATATTGCTTATGCTGTAAGTAGACTAAGTAGAAACACTCATAATCCTAATAGTGAACATTGGAATGCACTTTATCGGTTGTTAAAATACCTTAAGGGAACTATGAATTTATGTTTGCATTTTAACAAGTTTCCTGCTGTTTTAGAAGGTTATTGTGATGCAAACTGGGTGACAGATAATAATGAGGTGAGTTCTACTAGTGGATATGTGTTCACTTTAGGAGGAGGAGCTGTTTCATGGAAATCTTCCAAACAGACCTGTATTGCTCGGTCCACCATGGAATCTGAATTCATTGCTCTTGAGCTAGCAGGTCAAGAAGCAGAATGGCTAAAAAACTTGTTAGGTGATATTCCATTGTGGGGGTCTTCTGTACCAATCTCATTGCATTGTGATTCACAAGTTTCTATTGGAGTTGCCAAAAATTATGTGTATAATGGCAAAAGAAGGCATATTCGGATAAGACATGGTGCAGTTAAACAAATTTTGAAGAATGGAGTAATATGTCTAGATTTTGTGAGATCAGAAAGAAACCTAGCAGATCCTTTAACAAAAGGATTGAGTAGGAGAGTCATTCAAGAGACTTCTCAAGGGATGGGACTTAAGTCTTTGACTTGAAAATATTGTGCTTAAATCCATAGCTCTATGTGTTGAGTGGTCCTGAATAGGACTTGATGGATGATTGTGATATAAGTCTAAAGGACTTAATGACTTTATAACTCTATTTGTTGAGTAGTCTACTGTGGTAATAGACTTGATAAAGTTATTGTTTAGATGAGTGTGAAGGTGGGCCGCCTTCTATGAAAGAATAAAAAAATTTGCTTTCTAGAGCACTCATGGAACCAAGGTATATGCGCAGGGCCTTTAAAAGCGCTTTTGTTGTATCACGGAATAACAGACTTTAAGGAATTAATATGTGTCATGGGGGTTTGAACCTAAGCCTTTGAAAGTTCAAGAACTATTTCACTTTCATTAGCTATGTATTTACCTCATTTCACTATACATTAATTCAATCGAAAGAGATTAATGTTTAAGTAACTTAGTTCCTTCTCGCTGCCCAAAAATGTATTTTTAAACATATAGTCATTTGTGGGGGATTGTTGGGAATATGACTATATTAGCTATTCTCAAGCAAGTCTTTCCGAAACTGAAGGGAACACTTATTTTAGTGGTCAGTTTTCATTATTCAAATATTTCTTTGTTAGTTTCTGAAAACAGTTTTATAAATATATTATCATGCCTAAAAGATAGAAAACATGAAAAGTAGTTATATATATATATATATATATATATTTATATATATATATATATGAAAATATATTTTAAAATATAAAAAATAGGATTGAGTTTTTTCAAAGAGAGAAAGTAAAAAAAAAAAAAACTTTTCTTATCATCTTTATTTTCTCGGAACACGAGAGTCTACAATTCCAACTCCTCCCACGAGTGCACGAGGGTAGTGAGGTGTTGTGTTAACCTTGGGGAGCGAACAGTGTCAATCGGTTGCACCTTGGCCGTGCCGAAATTTCGCTTTCAGGGCAGTGGTTCTTCCACGGCACAGCTGTATTGATTTCTCTGTTTTACTAACATATATATATATATATATATATATATATATTAATTATTTTTATTTTAAAAATAAATTAATCTCTTTTCTCTATAGTTATTTTCTTTTAATATAAATCTTTCAAATTCTTCCACGAATTTTCTTTCAGACAAAGATGACAAACATATGAATAAAGAAGATAATACTCATGGAGGAGGAGCTACTACAATAACTCCAACTAAGACAAGAAAAAAGAAAAAAACAATCCAACAAATAGAAGAAGCATCCAAGGGGAGAATCACTAAGAGAAAGGTTAGAGAACTTGAGGATGAACTTAAAAAGTGTACCAAGTTTATTATAATAGAAGAAACTTCTTCTCTTTGTAAAAGTGATGTTTTCTCTTGTTTTATAAACTTTGTAAAAGTTACTCCTTTGTTGAAGGGTGCAATCTTCATGCAAGTATCCAAACACCACAACCAATGCTTTTTTGGATTATCTAATCAGTGCAAATGCTTTAGTTTGCTGTCATAAGCTTGTTTGATTGGTGCATCCTGATTCTTGGAGCTTGTTTGGTGGCAATGTTAGTTATTGGAAGGTTCCAAATTCTGTAATGCTACTTGACAGCATCAGCTGATACTTGACATGAGATCCATGATTCCAGGGATTTGTTTTGGCTACAAATAGAACGAATGAAAGAATATACTCACAGAATTAAAAACCCTGACGTTTGTACTCTTCCTTCTTTCTGGAATCACTCCTTGGGAGGTTATCAAAGACTTGGAGTGTAAATTTGACCCTCAGTATAATCCTGTAAGACTAGAGCAGCATTGTCTCCTGTAAAGAATAACCGTGTTCTAGACCATTTTTTCAAACCTTAGATACGGTCATAAGACGAATTTGCATGGTTCTGTGTTTTGACTTTAGAGCACACAAGTGATCAACTATTCAGTGAAAAATTAACAACTTTCTGTCACATTGAAGTCCAATTGTAAACCAAAAAGAATCAATTTTTACTTGCATATACATGACAAACACTTTTCTCTCTTCAAGCTTCCCATGGTCTAGGAAGAATGGTAACTCAAGCAGAATCTGTCATTTGAAGGAACTTTCTTGATCTGAAATCGGCACTGAGCAATCGGAGTTCATGCTGAGATCCCTCAATGTCTGACTTAATTTCAGAGGTCTGGGAAGGCCCTTTAAGCTTGGAGATCTTTGCTGATTGCTACTTAGCTTTCCCATCCTACCAATACTAAGCACTTCACTATTAATAGAAGTCACAATAGGTAGCTTTTTTTTGCATGGTGAATAGCTATCAGAGTTCATGTCAAAATTCCCTCCTATCCTTGCTCTTGGAGAGCTTGTTGATCTGGCTTTTGCTTGTGTTGATTTTGTTGCAGCCATGTATGTAGGAATTGCAGGTGAGCTTGGGAATGAGTGATCTTCTGCCTCTGAATTCTGGCTCCTCTGGGGAAATGTGGTCCTTGAAGAAAGTGCCGGAGAATCTAATCCTTCAACCTGATTTTGTCTGTGAGTATTTCTGAGCCTTAGTTGTCTCTTTCCACTTTCCTCCCCAGGTCTAGAGTAATGTGAGCTTAAAACTGAGTCTAAATCTTCAAGTTCTTTACTCTTGGAAAGTTGTGTGTCTACCCACTGCTCCATCCAATACCTCCATCTCCCATTAATTTTGTTTCTTTCTGATTCAGCTGACTTCTGAAAGTGTTTTCCAAGTTAGAATGAGAACAATAAGGCCTATTTGGCTCAAGAAATGTTGTCTGTTTTTTTTTCTTCTTTGCACAAATAACTAAAAGAATATCACGTTGCTCTCTCCTTTTCTCCCATTTTGAAGGATTTATACAGGAAACAGTGAAAATAACAAGATCTTAATTTTACTATTAAGGAAATTTTTCCAAATAGGAAACAAAATGAAAACATGGTTACCTTTTAATGATTACCAAAATAGAATACGAAGATAGATAATGCTTTCTCAAACTAAGAGGAAAAATTGCTTTAAGAGCTTACTCTGTGGTTAAATGAATATTCTTTTACTTTTTCTCGCTTAACAACTGCTTCTTTCTTGCTAATGGAAGAGGCATCTACCTCTTTCTTCAACAAAATACTGTCATCCCACCTTCTCTCACTATTTGAGTCCATCTGAAAAATATGAAAGCCATATTAAAAGCTTAAACCGTGCAAGGGATAACAAGTGAGCAAAATATATTTGTAAGCTTCCATTCATAATAACATGCAGATTATTATACTGGCAGTGAACTTTACTTTTGTGGTGTGATGAGAACATCACTGATGATCAACATAAACACGTTATCCCTACCCTTATTATCTTGTCTCTTGAACCTTGCATATCTTCATGTTCACCACAATCCCATCTTCCTTTAACCATTTGGAGTCTCCTTGCAAAGACCTGTGTCTGGATACTTACTATGGATTCCAAGCACTTCAGAGTGCACAAAGCTTGGCGTCTCACAGCTCTTCCACGAATGATAGCTTGAAGCTTCACTATTCCCTTCAATGCTCTCAAAGCTTTCCTTGCCTGCAGACTCTTACCAGTTAGTGGATGGTGTGTAAGAATCTAATAAAATGGATTCAGTTACTTATTTTCATGTACTGTAACTTATGTTACTTTTCCCTTAATTCTTTCTGATTTTTTTTCCTCCCTTTGGTGTTAAACTTGTTAAAGATTATCAAAACAGTTTAAATCTATTTTCTGTTCGATTTTGGAAATCACTAAGTAGTTAAATTGTAGTTTTTGTTCCCAAGTTACCTTATTCTGTTTTGGGAAATCACTAATTGGTTGAAGACTTCTAATGAACTAGTATTTATCAACTTTATAACCAAGTTTTTTAATTCTGAACATAGTTGAGCTTCAGTTTGTTTATCCTTAATTCTATTTGGTTTCTTAATTTTAACTGAATCTATAAATGACCACTAAGCTAAGAAAAGTGAAGAAGATGGAAAATGATTTAAGCTTCATATATGTAAATGAGAGAGATTAGACAAACTCACTAGGTAACCTCTAAATGCTGTTTGAATTTTGATGGCTGAAGATTCTTCCGTCTTCCTCTGGCAGTGGTGTGTGGAATGAGGAGTATCATGCCTAGTTTTAACAGGTTGAAGCTGTTCTTGTTTTTCTTTAAGTTGTTGATGAGCTGATTGGAGCCTGACAACCTCAACAGCAACCTGAGCAGCGGTAATAGCAGCTTCAGCAGCAGCAGCTGAAGCAATGGCCACTGTTAAAGCATGCTTGCTGTGTTCATCTTCAGCTTCACTTAGTCTTGGTTCTTTTGTGGGTGGTGGAGCTGTAATTGAAGGCAGTCTCTTGGTCTTAACCCTCCCAAATATCCAAGCCCTTCTTTCATTCTGAAAACAGGTTTGTCTCATGAGCAGTACAATCTTGCTTAAAGAGAATTATTAGTCAAATAAGCAGAAAATTTACCTTCTCTTGTGAGGGCTGTGTCCCCGATAAAAAGAGCTTCTTAATCATGCTAAACCAACCCTTCTTAGCCATTTAACAATATTACATGGACCAACTCTAGTTTCTGTGATCTGTGAGAATGCTCAAAAGAATCCTCTCTTATACAGCATATATCTTGGTCTTTGTTTATCTAATGGTCCAGGTCAGCTTGAACAAGTAGATGGGGTGAAACGTACAATTTGGTTTGTGAGTAGACACTAAACTGACTTAAGTAATAATGGACCTGTTGAAACCTAAACATTACACTTGTCCGAAAAAGAAGGAACAATTTGCAGACCTTGTCATTGAATAGCTTCTCATAGGCGCAAATAGTCATTACCAAGACCAAAACATGCACATCAATCAAAACTTTGCTTTCAGAGATATTTAACACTGATGCACACAAGTCAAGATAGTTAAAAAAGATTAAATGATGAATGTGATGCATATAGTGTGATCCAATATCCCAGTATCTTACTTACCCATCTTACGAAATCTCGTAAACTCTTTGAAAAGTGCTATAAAACAAATTTAAACTCTTTAGAAAGCACGACAGTCACCATTAAAGAGAACTAGGAGCTTGCAAAAAGCGCAGTGTCGTCACTAAAACCAGATGGGATAGCTTTGAAATCAGCAAACATTCTTTATTATAGTATCAGATACCCAAGACTGAGGAACTTCGGACAGATTTCACAGCGGCACGGATACCAAGATTTTTATATATTATTTTTCCTCATTTCACGATGGTTAGAAATCACAAGCTTGGAACTTTTGGTGAAGTGAAGTGGATATGATTTTTATGTGGGTGCAACTGCAATCATATCCTGTTTTTCTTCTTTCTCGTGCATGATGAGCTTTCTCTGTTCAAAGTGTGGGCCCGCAATAAGAAGCGTTCCACAGCAAAGAAACAGACCCACTTCGCTTTCATTAAGAAAGCCAGTGATTAAATAATAACGACCAGTTACTCTCAGCCTTGTGGGCCTTCTCCATTTTTTCCAACTGGCACATGTTCATATGCCTGCTCACTGTAAAACAGTGAGATCACAATTATTTTTTTTAATAAAACCAAACTAATCTAACAATAACAAATAATGTTAATTGAAAAAGTCCTGCATAATGTAATAAGAAATAGCAAACATATTGTCAAATTGATGAGGTGGGTTCAGGGTGGTCTACACAAGGATAGCAACTACTATCTGCCAGTTGAAACACAGATCCAAGAGTATGGCATTTCCTTGAACCAGCTATGCCTTCATACGGCATTGCACCAAAAGTCAAATCTCCACTTTGTGTGAATGTGGAAACTATCTAAGTGAACACTGTTGCTTACTTGGACTATCACTTCTCATCCTGCAAACAATTGTTTTTACTATCCCCAGCATTAAATGATTAATGCTTTGGTTTTGTGTTTGAAGTCTAATAATTTGAGCATATTTAACATAACATAGAAGACAGAGTGAGGGAGAAGGGGTGGGAAAGTGCATGATTGATTGAACATGTGTGGAAAGGACATGGAATGTGTGGGGAAGAGAAGAAACAAGATTTGGGATGTATGGAGTAAAGACAGCTGTAAAAGGACCCAAAGAGGAAATGTGATGACACATTCTCTCAAATCTCATCTTTTAATAAAGAGTGAAGTGAGGGTTTGGTCGGCTATTTCGAAACCAAAAGCACACACTTTGTCACGCCATGGTTTACTTTAAAATGACTTCTCAGGGTTGAATCCTTTGAATGAAAAAGATGCTTGTTTGGTTATAAACAGACTACTCAAGCAAGATTTGGTTAGCTTCGTCAATCAGGACCTACCGTCAATGATGCAATGAACATTTTAGGGGAAACAATCTTCAAGCAAAATTAGGAACTATTTATTAGTGTTCCTGTTTTGACCCCATTATGAAACAACTATGAGGTTAAACCACCTATAAATAATTATGACAAGGGAAAGTTGTCTGTAGCGTTTTTTCCTTTTTACAAATTGAAAATTTTAATCTATAAATATGAGTATATAATTTTTTTTTCAATACATAATATCAATAAAACATCAATTAAATTCGTATAAAGATTAATAATATACTTAACATAAAACTTCAAGACATAGTTATAAATCTTTTTCTTTATATATTACTCATGTTCTCGTGCTTATATAATGTACGAGAGTTAGACTTGCCTCTATATTTCCTAATCCATTAAGCTTCCATGTTAAAACTTTAAATATTTCTTCATTTGTATGTTTTTTCCTCCATATAATATTTTTAAGCAATGCCTTATATAATAATGTCACACATCATGTGCTTCAATGAAAATTTTGTTTAAAAAATATTAACTTAAAATTATCTTTATAATAATTTCATTGGAAATGATTTTATATAATACAAAGAAAAATAAACAAATTAAGAAGTTTTTGATAATATATTATTTCTCCCTTCAACATAATATTCAAGATCCTTAATTGAACTGAGAGGTAACAAAATCTTTTAGCACGAATAATATTTGAGCTCCCACTTTCAAATTAGACTTACATTATCAAATTTATTTATTCTAAGCTTATTTTAGTATTTTCTTATAAAATAAAATCTTTATGATTCAAGTATTTTATATCCATTTTTAGAATAATTCTTTACATTTAGTGTAATTTATTGAATTTTAAAATAAAGTCATTTATATAAAATACATGAATGAATCTTATATTTAATTTAAAATTATTAATTATTAATATTTTAATATTTTTAGAATTAATTTTGATATCATTTTAAATATTATGATATATTTAACTTAGTTTTACAGAATTCAGAATTATACTTAATTATATATTATAATATTATCATATTTATAAAAAAAATTTAATATCCTAATTGAATATATAATAATATTACTAAAAATTCTCACATTTCATATAAATATTTTTATAACTTTTTTTATAAAAATGATGAAAAATAAGTTTCCTACAAATTTAAACAAATTTTAATAAAAAGTTTTTAAAAAATAACTAATAGTTTAGTATTAACTTTTTTTAAGCTTAATTACATGTCATATTTTAAAAATTCGTTATTTTCTATAAAAAAATTGTTTAAATTTGTAAAAAACTTCTTTACAAAAATATTTTCGTGAGAATTTCTAGTAATATACCATGCAGCAAATTACAAACAAATACAAATAACAAGATTCAAGCAAATATAAAAAATACAACAAGAAATAATTATTAAACAGAAAAACCAAGATATTAAACCATAATCCATTAGCATTCAATGTTTTACCAGACTCTCACGAGAAAAGAAAACTATCACAAATCAACATTTGAAACTCTATAAGATGTTTTACAATCGTTGAGAAACCTTATCACAAGAAACCTTGACCATCCAGGTCAAGAATCACCTTAACCACCTCATTAAGAATTAACCACCTTAATTAACAATTTGCATACACAAGAATGTGATAAAATTGAATAAGATCACTTGCACAAACTCTTGGAAGAAAAATAAATTAATTTAAGATAACTCTTTTATATAACTTATAAGATTAATTCATTGAAATATTGTTTATACTAAACAAGTGCATTTTTTTGGATTAATGTGAGTTTTTAATTAGAGTGTCTTTTCTTTGATTATAATGAATAAAAAAATTATTATAATATATTAAATATGATATGCGGTAAAATAAAATAATTTGAATTTAAGTGAATTAATCGTTTAAAAGAATTTTCTATAACTTAAAAAATATTTGATTAATTTTTTTTATTTTTATTCAAATTAAAAAAAATTACCCACTTAACCTTAAACAAAGAAATTCAAATTGACTCTTTTACACAATTTTAATATGATAAAAGAGAATATGACCATATAAAGATTATATTATTAAACTCAAAATTAAACATCCAAATCTCAATCATTTGATATTTAATGGTTGGATATAACAAATAATCTCACTTGAAGTTTTTAAATCTATCAAAGTAATCTTAAAAAGATTTAGCATATATATTAATTTAAATAAGAAAGTTTAAGGTTTAACTTTATACTTTATAATATCAAATAATCTATTTTTAATTTTTATTGTATCATAAATGTAAATCTTATCTGAATCTATTGTAAGAAAGACTTTTTTTTTAAGTAAAAGTTTATAATTATTTTCATAATAATACTCCAAAATCCAAGTTATTTATTACATTATAAATGAGTTAGAAATGAAGAAAATTAGATGGATTAATTAATTTTTTTTATTTGTGTAATTTTGATCTAAATACTTATTACCGGAACGGAGGATGTGCCGAACTAGTACAATGTAACGGGAGAAGACAGCAATTTAAATGAACACGGTGGCGCAACCTGGGCTATAAATTACCCCTAGAACTGGTGGTGGTTCAATTGTACTTGAACAACCACTGTGTTGGAAACTCCATACTTGTTTATTCCTTGCGTTTTCGCTTCCTCAATTGCTGCGACCGAAACCCATTTTTAGCTTTCCATAGATATTCCCTGAAATGGGTAGGTGGGATAACCGCCAGTCGCGGAGGTTCTTTCGCCACCGGAGATCTCCGGTGCCTCCTTCGATATTCTACGACATCAATGCTTCTCTTCCTGGTATTTCCCAAATTGTTTCTTTACCTTTCAATTTGCCTATCTTTCTCTTTGATTTATTTTTCCTTTTTGCGAAAAATAGTTGGACTTTGGCATTGCACCGTTTATGTAGGGGAGGGGAGGGGAGGGGAGGGATGCTTTGTGAATTTGATGTGGAAGTAGAATCCTTATAATGTCAGGCACGTTAGAGATTGTAATTGAACACTTGAGTTACGGGTAAATCTTTGGAATGGAGATATTTGATACCATGATTGATTGAAATGAGTGCTAACTTTGCGTGGAGTATGCTTGAGGGGAAGATGAGGGCTAGTATAACACACTCTTTTTCGTTCTAAAATTTATTAAAAACTACAAATTCATGAATCAGATATTCTCTTTTATTGATTGTTAAAATTTTTTGAAAAACTTTCAAATCATCCGTGAGATTCGTTAGATAAGTAGTAAGATATTGTATGATTTTTAATAAATGTCCGACAAATGGTA